CCTGATATGGAGCCTGAGAAGTAATCAGGGATGCTGTTTCCCTTTCCAGGGCATCCATCACTGTTAACAACTATTGCATAGAGTGGGGCTTTTACTGGTTGTTCCTGATATCAGGAAATGTAGTAGGTGCTAAGCTGACTACTCAGGGTGCAGCGGAGCTTGACTGAGGCTCCCAGGGAGACAGATGCAGAGGATGACTGAGTCATCACAGGCTGGGAGGCGAAATCTAAAAATACATTAAAATAATTATATTCTGAAAAAAGCACACAAAGAAAGAATATTTATGGCAGGAGGCAGGATGGTGAGGACAATGTTGACCTGTGCAGTACAGGTGGAGGCTGAATAAGAGGACTAGGGTCCAGGCCAGGGTATACACACCCCAGAGTTCTGCTGAAACAGACAGGACTCAGGACTCTCTTATTAAGCCTCAAAACCCAGAGGCTTCATAAAAATCTGTGCCACTTACATAGGCCAACAAGCTCTTCCCTGTGGGGAGAAGTGCATGGAGTACTGTATACATGGCATACATTAAGGGTGTCTGAGTTGCAAACCACTCCCTCGTGCTAAGAGTTTAAGAGGCAAACTGCTTACTCTGTAGTCACAGACCTGGGCATGAGGCCATGTGTTGCAGTTTCTGTGCTTGCTCCATAGCCCATTCCTTAATTGGTCACTGCAAGGACAGTTGGCCAGAAATTGTATTGGTGGCTGCCTATAATCTGCCTAGCTATTGCTTGAGTATATGTACATGATAACTGTGCAATAAAATCAGACCTGCTTCCAGCTTGGTCCCTGAAGGTCTTAATTTGCAACTCTGAAGCCACACTCTTCTCTATCCTGTTCAGTGGACCTCCTCCTTGGAAAAGAGAGAACCCACACACCTTCCTGTCATGTGTCAGTTTGCATGTAGTGTGCCTAACCTGAGACTTTATAGGTACCTAGAGAGTTTCTAGTTTGTGGAAAGAATGAGTTCTGTGCCAAGACAAGAGGGCAGGTATCAAGGTTCTCACCTTTGAGCCCAAAACCTCCCAATGGAAGACCTACATTTTCCACATTGCTCAGACTTAGGTCAGTCATGTCTGTGTCCAGGTGACAGGTGTTCCTGACAGAGGCTCCTGCCTCCAACAAATATTTCAGCATTGCCTGCTCCCAGCCCAAGATAGAGTGAGAATCACCCTATCTCATCACAGTATTTAATTTTCTATTCTCTGCCACACACATTTCATAGAAGTAGGAAACACAATACAACCAATTTTCTATGGCATTTGCAGGAGAAGGAGGCTCTTACATACAAACTCCACATACAATGAAAAATACATAAACCTGAAAGTGAGAACTGGGGACAGGTCAGCTATAAAGCCACTTTGGAGGCTCTTTGTGAATCTAGGGTTCTCTTTCCCTACCTTATTCCTCCTAAAATTGCTGCATAAAGTCTTTATGGATTAGTGTTTGGGAATTTAAAATTCATTAGAAATGAGGAAAGCACAGGAGATAGAAAGAAAAATTACTAATGTGCTTGAAAAGGAAATCAGCTGATCTGAGGCTTTTGTAGTAGAGTTCACAAAAAATAAAGGCTGCATTTCAAGTAAAGATGTTGAAAACATTTCATGACTTTTCTGATAAAACATCTTCTACATATTGTTATTGTATGGTTTTGCTCTATGCTCACAACCATCTTATAGATACCCCCACTTCCAATGCTGACAAATAATAAATGTCAGTGACTACATTAGTTGAGAGATAATATACCTCTAGTTTAGGAAAACTAGCTGTGGGTATGCACCACTGCTTGGAATCATGACCAAAGGCCCACAGGATTTGACCCTGACAGTAGGATAGAGATTTCTCATAAAGCAATCCTCTGGGTACACAGGCTGTTTGCCAGTCCCTGCTTATGATGGGACTTAGGCATCATTCAGAGGACAGGGAATGCACTGTGATTGTTGGGTAGGCACACCATAGCATAACACTCAACCGAAGGTCCCTCACAATGGCAACATAAAAGAAGCTGATGGACAACTCAGGAAGTGTGTGTCCTTCAGTATATTTTAAAATGTTATGGCATGTCTTTGCATTGTACAAAAGTTAAGTATAAATTAGTGAATTTTATTACTATATTAGAGTTGGTCTCTTCCCTTTGATTAATTGCAAAATGAACATCATTGGAGATGCTAACCACTGGAAGAAAGTTTTCAGATCAGATTCAGAAGTTTTGTCCCATTTGTAAGATACAATAATTTAATACTTATTTTGTGGGTCATTTCCTTAGAAACAATTGACAGATATCATTTTGTATGGACTTAAAGAGAAACAGAAACTAACCAGACCCTTTCCTTAGCCTTTCTCTAGAAGAAGTCATCATTGGGCTGCCAGATTTATCAATGTCTAGTCTTATGATTTCCATATCCTGTGATCATGTTTCTATCCAGACTATGTCATGTGCAGGTTTATATCTATGTTTTCCATCTTGGTCTGACTGTGCTGAGAATCATTGTAATGTATCACACATTGTACCTGCTTTACCCTCAGTTGAGCACTTGAGAGAAGCAGGCAGCTTTTCCTTCATCCAGGGAGCCTGAGAACCAAGAAGGTGACCAAGAGTGTCTGCTGTTTGCATTTCAAATCAGGGTCTTGGCACTTGGCTCGAATTCTTCTGCAACCAATATGAGAAGTGATCATCTGTGACCAAAACTGTGCTGGAGCCACAGATGAAAGTGACTGTCCCTCTTGAGCAAGTGGTCAGTGAGGTCTCCTGAGTCTTGCAACCTAAGAAGTGGACCCTAAAACTCAAACAAATGTGTCTAGAATTAGAAAAGAAAACAGAATTCCCCTACAATGCCTGGAATCCATATTCTCTTCCATCCTTAACAATGAGTTTGGAGGAAAAGGAGACATATTGTGATATGCATTTTGTAAGGATCCCCAGGCTCTAAAATTTAGTCCAAACTTCCTTATGGCCCATGATTTCTTACAGACTGCCTGCTGAAGGAGGTGTGTTTGTTTGGTATATTATATAAATATGAGCCCTTTACCATCAACTTTTAAAACATGGCCCATTGTCTTCAGAGCACTTAGGTTTTCAGAGGTAGACCCAGGGTGGTTGTGTGCTGTGGATATTCCCCATGGGAGGAAGCAGCTGCTCTAGCATGGTGCATAGTCCACTGAGCAACTGTTCATGATCCATTAAAGCTAAACCACTTGAGTTTCCACCAGTTTTCTACAAATGTCCACGGTGCCACCTGGAGGCCTATTGGTCTAAATAAATTGTTTTTATGACATTGCCACTGTTTCTAAGACTGTCTTTCATTAATTACTAGAGTTTTTCCGGAGCATTCCTGTTATCTATTTTTTTGTTGTTTTTAAATGAAATCATTCCCAATTGTGTGCAATTCAGTTTTAGACTTGCATGTTCTTAACCTTATTGGAATTTTCTTATCATAACATACTTGCATTTATTTTATATAATGCTTCATTGATTTATTACAATTGTATGTTAATAGTGGGATTAACTGTACACATAATCCTTTATACAGGAAACGTTATTTTATCAATGAATTCCCCAATATTCTCTCTTTCCCTCTCTTACACCCTTTCCTAAACCTCTTTCTCTCTGGGTCTTATTTCTGTTTTTCTTTACTTGCTACATTGAAATTATTAATAAATTGAGATTCACTGTCATATATTGGTATTTGCACATAGCATCATTTGTTTGGTGTTCTGCCACAGTGCCTGCCCATCTCCTGATTTTCTCCCTCTCCTGGATATTCTTTCTCCCTTCAAGGATTCAGTTCTTTCCATTATAAGTGGAAGTTATCAAGATAAAAGATCAATAAAGATGGAACCTCACTCATGAATGTTTTTATTTTTAGTTTTTAAAATTTATTCTAATTTGTTATATATGACAGCATAATGCGTTTCATTCATATCATACATATATAGCACAATTTTTCATATCTCTGGTTATACACAATGAAGAGAGACCAAATTTATGTCTTCATACATGTACTTAGAGTAATGATATTCACCTCATTTCATGAATGTTTTGAATGAGTAAAGGAATTGTGTTCATGACCAACTTGATAGTAAGTTTGCTCATTTTTAACTTCTCATTTGCTATAGAGAAAGCTTAAGTTGCAAATTATTTTAGTAACAATATACAGGGTAAAGAAGAAAAATAAGAGGAAATGCTCCAAGTTAGAAGGTTAAATTTTCTTTTCTTTCCATTTTCACTTTTTAAAGTAATTCTATGGATATAAAATCCAGTATGTAGATGGTCAACCAGGTCTACATGACCATACTAATCAAAATAGAAGGGCTTTACTGTTTTTTTGTTTGTTTGTTTGTTTATTTATTTATTTATTTGTTTGTTTGTTTGTGTGTTTCTGGGATTGAACCCAGAAGGTCTTAATCACTGAGCCACATTCCCAGTTCCCTACTTTTTTAGAAAGAGGTCTTGTTAGGTTGTTTAGGACCTTGCTGAGTTGATGAGATTGGTTTCAAAATTGTGATTCTTTTCCCTCAGCCTCCAAAGCTGCTGAGATTACAGGTGTATGCCMCCACTCCCAGCTTTTAAGGTTTTGCCGATTGACAATAATGTATGCATGATAACACTCATCGTTTATAAAAGAGTTATCAATGTCAGTGAAACTCCCAGGAGAGAACAACCATTGTCTTAGAATAAGATTAAAAGAACTCCCTCCTCAGGGTTGCACTGGCTGCCTTATCACATGAACTTCAAGAAAACAAGACCACAGCATCCTAAATGTTCAGGTCCTGAAGCTACAAGTGAGCAGAAATTTCTGTTTATATGGAGACATTTTCCTAGAAACATCCTACCATGAATGACTCTGAGGACAGAGGACAAGAGTATCCTCACTCAAGGAAGTGCCAGTAGATTTTGCTGGGTCTATACTAGTGGTAGCAGAAAAAGCAAAAGACTGGACTTTAACAAAGCTGCTGGGTGTTTGCCATCCTGACAGATGGTAAAGGGTTTTTTGTCTTACTTCCCCATGAGCCTGGAACACTGTGAGAGCATTAAGGCTGTAATCATAAGACTGACAGTAATAGACAGCCTCATCCTCAGGCTGGAGCCCAGTGATGGTCAGTGAACCAGAGTTGCCAGACTTGGAGCCAGAGAAACGATCAGGGACTCCTGAGGGTCGATTACTATCACCATAGATGAGAAGTTTGGGGGCAGTCTCTGGGAGCTGCTGGTACCAATGCACATTATCACTACCAATATTGCTGCTGCTTCCAGTGCAGGAGATGGTGACCCTCTGTCCTGGAGTCCCAGACAGCGAGGGCGGCTGAGTCAGCACAGACTGGGCCCAAGACCCTGAAAGTGGGAGAGACACAGAGAAGGTGATATTTGTCTAGAAATAAGAGTAGAATCAGGGTCCATACCAGAGGACTCCCAGACACTATCCCTCCTCCATATCATGTCACCTGTGCACTGAACAAGGAATATGAGGGAGAGACAGGTCCAGGCCATGGTGAAGGTCATCTTGAGCTCTGACTTCTGTTCCTGAAGCTTAACAGAGGTTCCCCTAAGTCTCTCCCTGACCCTCTTCATACTCTGAGAAGGGGAGGATCTATCTATGCAAATTAGGTTCCTTCAGGTTTCCTGATTACACCCTGGGTCCTTGTTCAACTCCTGTACATAAATATGCCAAGTGGCTCTGTGGGGGTGGAGTTGGCTCAGGGGTGTGGGTGGTCACAGCTGTGAGGCCTAACAAGAGAGCATCAGGCAGAGCCAGGTGGCTTATTTCAATTCTGGTTCCTTCCAGACCCTCTCTTGACTGTTCTGCAGTGCCACCTGTTGTGCAAGCCCATATACATTATTATGTGACATTCTGATCAGACCCCTTGAGACAGTCCTACATTCCCTCTTCCTCTTCCTATGGGAAGCCAGTGAGCCCCTTCTGTGGCCTCCACATTATCTCAAGATAACCTTCTTGCTTTCCTCAGACTTCTCATGGTAAATTTGTACATAGTTCACTTGACTGCTCCCTGTACAGGACTAAGATGGTGTCTTTGATATAAATTTTTCACAGATCAGAATTAAGCAGGTGAACATAAACTTTTTGGTTTTATTACCTTAAAGTATCCATTCTCTATTTTATCCACAACACAAAAACTTTGTTCCAAAGGTCCCTTTTCCTTGGACTTGGTAAATAACTCAGTTGTAAAATCTTAAAGAGTAGTCATTTGATGCAATGTAGAAGATACTCTTATGCATATTTTCAAGCTTTCTCAGGTCACATATTTGGAACTCTTATTGTCAGCAAGTAAGACTTAGGGTAGTGACTATGAGTCAGTCACAGACATATAGCACTTTAGCCATCATTGCCTACATAAAATACCATAGGAAATGGAGACCCAGAAAGGACTCAGACTGCAGGAGTCATGAGTATTTTCAGATATGGATGAAAATGCTCTCTCCTAGGCACTGGCAAGGATGGAGGTGATCTGGGCATGAATATAAACCGAGAAATGGAATAACTGGGACAAACAGTGGTTCCATTCCAAGTTTCCTGAGGAATCTCCACATACTGCTTTCCAGAGAGGTTGAACTAATTTGCAGTCCCACAATAATGTATGAGTGTACGTTTGTTCCAACATCCACACCAACATATATTGTTGCTTGCATTCTTGATAATTGTCATTCTGACTGGACTGAGATGGAATCTCGGTGTCATTTTAATTTGCATTCTATAAGTGCTAAAGATAATGAAATTTTTTTTCATAATTTTGACACTTCCACATTCCAAGCTAGGCAATAATTGCCATTCTAGGGTCTAGAAACTTCTATACTTAGGATCTTAACTTCCCTCATAGTAGGTTGGTACTTTTTAACTCTAGTACAATTTGTATTTAAATATAGACAAAATTAAAAATCAAGCAATTATATTTATTTCTGTGATAAGATAAATTGTTTACACTGTGGAATCTAATATTTTTGTATTCATTAAATTATAGTATAGAGACTGGAAAATATAACTTACATTTTCTGATTAATAAATTATTTAAAAATAAATTACAAATGGGATATGTGCATTATCAAGTAATTCAAATTTATATAAGTTCAATATGTTAAATTTTAATCATTATTTCTTCCTTTCTTCCTTCATTTCTTTCTTCCTCTACCTGTGAGAAATAGGTAATGTAGCTTCCCTTGTGCTTTTCTGTCTTTTTAATGAAATATTATACCTCTACCTTCACATGGTTCTCTAAACTGCTGTAAATTTCCTGCAGATTTTAATTTCCCCAAAGGCCAAGTTCCACTTGCCCTTCAATTTAGAAGAGCAAGACATTCCACTGCAGATCAGGAAGTTTATTTGTCCTCTTCTTCATGAGTGTACCCAAGACACCTGCACATACACAATTTTCTTTTGATTATCCTTTCTCTAATTTTATCTCCAAGTATGAAACCAGAATATTTGAAGTCTTTATACCAAGCAACATGAAACAAATTATATGAAACAAATTATATAAATTGTCCAAGTGTCAGAAAGAAAACTGCAGATAGAAAATAAACACATGATGGTGGGACTGTAAATTGTTGCAACCACTCTGCAAAGTAGTTGGAGATTTCTCTGAAAACTTGGACTGCAACTATCATTTGTCCAGTCTATCCCACTCTTTGGTTTATAGCCCAAGAATTTAAAATTAGTACACTACAGTGATGCAGCCACATCAATGTTTATAGCAGCTCAATTCACAATAGCTAAACCATGGAACCAAACTAGATGTCCTTCAACAGATAAATGTATAAAGGAAATGTAATGTACATACACAATGGAATATTACTCAGCCATAAAGATAAATGAAATTATGGCATTTGTGGGTAAATGGATGGAACTTGAGACTATCATGCAAATGGACATAAGCCAAATTTAATGTTCCAAAAGTCAAATGCTAAATGGTCTTTCTGATATGTGAGTGCTAACCCGTATCAAGGAAGAGTAAGGAGGGTAAGTATAGAAGTACTTTGTATAAGGACAAAGGAGAATGAATAGAAGGGAGACGGATGACAATAGGAAAGACAGTAGAAGTATTCGGAGAGCATGTCCTGGCTTCTGCTGGTACCTGTAAAGACAGAATTGGAACTAAGCCCACAGGTGAGTGTCACCATCTCACCTGGAGACACAGAAAGTGAGGGCTCCTGGATCACAATGGTCTGAGAATCTGCCACTAAAAACAATAAGAGACAGTTATTGTTATTATGACAAAGGTCCCCTGAGACACTGCTTTTATGTATCCTCAGTATGCAATGCCCCTCCCCAGACCTGAACCATAAGAGCACTAGTAGAACCATCATCTTGGCCATGTTGCGGATCCTCACAAGCACTTGGTGTCCTCACACTCCTCACTGTGAGTTTGGTGTCCTGAGGAAATTTTCATGCCTCTTCAGACCCAGAGGAAAGTATTTTTATGCAAATTGAATTTCTTTTCCATTCCTGTCCCAGTGTTCACCCTGAATTTCCCTGGAGGAGAACATGAAAGAGGCAGATGCTGGGAATTCACATAGATCAGTGACTTCAGGGGAACTGAGACATATGAATTTTAGTTGATGCCTTTCCCAGATCAGGTGCCCTACATTTATTCAACACATGCATAAATTTAATGTCTTGAAATTCAGAGATGGGAAGAAAAACAAGGATGAATTCTCCATATCTACCTGGTTCATCTATTTTATTTCAAACTCAGACCTTATTGATGAACATTTCTTTCATGTCCATGAAATGAGTGTTATTTCCCCTTGAGTTAACTGTCAGGCCCTTTTTCCTCTGAATAGATTCCATTTTGATACTCCAGAGCCAGGTTTGTGGGGAGCTCCCCCGCAAGTTCCAGAGACAGCCATCTTCTTCCACTGACTAAATCCTGGGGACTGTCTCAAGCAGCCTCAGTGGAGCCCAGGGTGGAGATTTCAGACAGAGACAGCAGCATAACAGGGCTGGGAATGCCACCTGCTTCCACTCTAAGATGTCATCAGTTACATGGCTTTAGTGCTAATGGAAGTGAAGAATTTGGGAGAAGGTGGGATATTCTTCCCAATATCAAAAACCATATTCATCATACTTGAAAATAAAATTAAGAATATTTCTGATCATATTAGTGTGAAGATCTCTACCATTTTCAGACATTTTCACATTTGAAGATGATTAGAAATTCTAGATAAGGATATTTGGGGAGTTTAGAAATGAAACTCCTTCAATTTCTTTGTGAAATAAGGTTTTATTTTTAAAAATAATTTTTATTACTCCAAACTAAAACAATTTCTAAATTGTTTATAATTATTTTATTAAATTTTCATTAATATTATCATTTCCTTTCAAATCATTTATTTTTATTGTTTTAAGAGATTTACTCATATGAGGAATAAAGGCTCATAATAAAATATGATATGGTTGGTAATCAAAAACACCCAATAGAGTGAGTGTCTATACATAGATTTGTTTATGCATGTTTGTTTGTAATACAAAAATAAAATGGAGGATTTGTAATTTGAGGAGGAAATATAATTTCTAGTTCTAATACATTAAAACTATAATAACATCTGTTCTATCATTTATGTTAAAACTCACTGAAAAAATTACCAAATTTATTCAGATGCAATATAAAAACAGGAAAAACAGTGGATTAAAGTGTTTATCACATATTTAAATACATGTGAATTAGGAAATCATAGTGACCCACTACTAATCCTAACCTCTGTAGTGAGCCCTGTGCTACATTTGAAATTGTCTCAGACATTCTTAAGGTTACATGAATGAAGAGATTTTCTCCTGGGATTTCTACTTGTCAATTAGGAGCCAAAGGGAAAAGAAGAAATAGGAAACCCTAGAACAGAGAAAATCCTGGGGTTCCAGTAGTTCATGTCATTGAAGCAAAAGCAGCTCGCTGTGGATGGAGGTGACACTGCTTAATCCAGGTAAAGGTTTAATTTGGACTGTGCATTTTGACTCTGAAGGACCATAGTGATATATGCTGTACACTGTGGGAATTCACAGTGTACTTTTTAGTCCCATTAAAATTCCATTGAGGTGGGTCCTGTGATTCCATCTTTCTCCCCTACAGTGACTCAAGTCCCACTTCTGAGAGCTTAGAATTGATCTCTCTGATTGTGACATCTGACATTTTGTCATAACTCTTGTACCTACCCACCCTTCAAAGTCCATGTTCGGCATCCTTTGGAGACCTCAAGAAAAACAGAGTCATATTTTCAGTCCAAATCTTTATGTTGCTCAAAATAAATTATGCTCACTCTATCATGAATTCTACTTCCTAACATACTGCTAACATGTGAATGCAATTTGAGTCTCTGCCAAAGTTCAATACATAGAGACTTTCTCCCAGGGTGGTAAGGTTTTGTAGTGCCAGAATGTACTATCTTATGATAGGCCCTTTTAAGTGGTGGTAACAACTTATGAGAGAGCCTCAGGTCATTAAAGACATGTCTACAAATATGGTGGTTATACACAACCCTGGCCTCCCTCTTGCTCCCCACCCCCCATCTCTCTCAACA